AAATACTTCAAATGATGTGGAACATACATACCCTCGCAGGGGGACAATTGTCTTACGTTGCTTCAACCCCACTAGAGGGTATAGTCACTAGCAATCAAAGTTATTCATTATGGCACTACCAATTTTTGAAATAGTACTATGTACATCATAACGTATGAATTAAATCAATTTCCTTTAAATATTCCAGAATTATATGAGGGCAAATATTCGTCAAAAGGTCCTTCATTGTTGAAGCTTTGGTCCCTTGTAATGGAAAAGTCAACAAAAGTTGCTATGAAGTTTGTACCAAGGAATGACATCCACTGAACAGGCCCAGCAAATTCATCACATAATCGACATTTCATAAAACATTCTCTCGAAGAATCACATTTCGGCGATTACGAGTTGGAAATGACTTATCATGGGTGGTAAAAAGAAAGCTCTCTGAAACCGGACGACTTCCTGCAGGCAAAGTAGTCAGTTGGATTGTTATTTTGTTCCACACACGATCAAATATACGTGGGTGCAGTGTTTTCCCAGAGAGCTTCTCCTTAAATGACTGGCTCTGGGCAGACATGGTGAATTACTGCACCTGGTCTATAACCATTGCTTTCTCGCCAAGCAGTATATCACTATAAAAAATCAAACCCAATTTGATATTCTGTCCAACAACCTTGCTTTGTGCAATCAACTACTCAAAGGGAATAAGAAGGCTATGACTTTGTTTCGAGCATTTAGCTCAAGGCTTCAAATTTTCTTTAAGCGATATGTATACTCAGCCCAAAGTGTGTCATGAAATTGGGAATTCTGGATCTAGTCCACTTTCATTGGAAGATACGCATAGGCTTGATCTAAAAAAAGGTGGTCAAAAACTCCTCCCTCTTTTAACTTGACCGATCCATCATTCATTACATTGCTATGTTTCAAATGAAGTGTACTGCATTTCTGGAGTCCAAATGCCATACCTACATCATCACAAAAGGAAAAGGAGAAACTGTTGGGTTTTTTTGCAAATTGACATCTCCTTCGGCAAGTAGCTCGATGTCATCTATATAGATGAGAAGAGTAAGCGGTGTTGTCGATCTGTGCTGTGGAGGTCCGGGATGCCTCAAATGATTTAACTTAGGCAAAGCAAAAAGCAAAGGCCCCTTGCAGTATCTCCCTTTTGATTTGAATGGACTCTGGAGTCGGCCCCTGCCACTGCGAGTAGATCTATCGGATGATAGATTGATGATATTTGAAACGACGGACCCTTCTTATAGTATGTCATTTTACAGTTGTTATGGGTGAGACCAGTCCACATAATGAAATATAGAACATCGTTTCAAGAACCAGAAAGAAATTTCCATTAAAAAACCATGTCAACTTGACGGGTTGTAGTCAAAAGGGCCAACATTGAAAAAGTCAAAAGGGTCAAAGAAAAGTCGAGAGGGCCAATGGAAAGTCAAATTTTAAATTTTTGCCCTGTATGGATATATATTATTTTTTCTCAAATGCATTGGCATTGGCTTGTGGTATGCTCGCAAAATGGACTATCCCCTACTTTTTTTGAATGGTATAGTTTAGGATTAGAAACTTCAGCATTTACAACCTGTACGTATAAATGTTATATCGAATTACATTCGAAATATACAAGGGAAACAAGAAGAGTTATCTGACTAATCATTAACTTAAAAACAATATCAAAACATGTTCATTACATTTTACATTGAAGGCAAAACATTACACGAGATATTTGTCACACCCAATACTTACTCCAAAGCCAATCTCATACAGATACATAACAATCTTGACATGGTTAAAGCTTAGATGCAACCAAAAAAATAAACATAATTAAAACACAATTATCACATATAATACATATTGCTGATTATGAAAAAACCCCAAATAAACAAAATTATAAGCGTACAATCCCAAATCAAAAGTGCAAGATTTTGTACATGGGTTTACTACCCTCGAAACGAAGCACCCAGGATACCGAACCCAGTCACAGCGGGTGGGCGTGCACTTAAGTGTAACGAAGCCTTTCATTGGCTGGTTCAGTTGCCGATACACCCAGTGTTGTATGTGTGTGTATAGAGATGTTGGGGTTTGTAAATACATGCTCATGTTTTGTGTATAACATTTTGCAACCAACCGACATCATAACATGTCATGTGTACAAGTATCACACCTGCCTGTCTGTGTAATTACATAATATGACAGAGACAGAATTCAGGTGCACGAGCCATAAATCAATGCGTTTTGTTTATGGTGTATAGCCTGATAGATGTTAAGTTCAAATTGCATGTGGTCAGTGATCGAAGTTGTGTATTCATGTTGTGATTAGCAGACAGGCAGGCAGACACATTGGTGTCAATAAAACAGACATTGAGTTAACTTCTTTGAGAGGCATTTAGAAGTTGGGGCAGTAAGGAAGGATAACAATATATGGTGCTCTCATAGCAATAAAGAGTGAGTGAGTGAGTGTGTTAATAGTTAACGTCACATCGGCAATATTTCAGCCATATCGTGACGACAACAATGTAATTTATATCAACATTAAAATCAATAAATTTCAAACATAACAAATCTGTCATCGAAGGACAGTAAAACCACTAGAGTATCACAGCTCTCAATTTAAAACTAGTACGCTATCATAAAAAAGATATCACTATAGACAAAAATACAATATAAAAATGGACTATAGATCACCAGCAACTGAAGGCTGATCACCATACTAGGGACCATGGTGACTGACAGTACCACCTGCATGGACCCTAGCTGGATTTATATCAACCCTTTAGCAGCTGGCGATTGTGGTCAAATTTAGCCAAACTTAAAATGACAAAATTACTACATTTAAAAATCTGGTAAATTTAAATTTCCTTTGAATGTTTCAGGACTTACGTACCCTCTCAGGAGGAAAATAATTTTACAATACTTTAAGCCCCCTTGAGGGTACAGCCACTTACAATCTAAGTTACTAATCTAAACTACCAATCATTAAAATACATCTATCTACAGAACATATAAATCAAAATTCATCAATTAAATCAATTTCTTTTTAAAAAACAATAATTAAATGACAATTAACAGTGGTAAAAAATGCCTTAACTGTTTTCACATTGAAATATTTATCCCTTATGATGGAGAATTCAACAGAGTCAAGCAGGACATGCTTGACCGTGACTTTCTCATCACAAGGGATACAAAACGGATGTTCTTCACCTTTAAATAGGTATTTGTGAGTATAACGCATATGGTTCATGCGACATCGTCGCTTAATGACCTCCTCAAATCTAGACAGACAACCCAAGTAGGTGTAACCAATATCAGGTTTTATTTTATGTAATTTATTGATACCTACTTGGGTGTCCCACTTCTTCTGCATCAGATCACGGATGTAGGTTCTCATGCATAGCAATAAAGAAGTTGTTCATCCATATATTGTTTTCCTTCCAGACATTGAGTTTTGTCTGTGACGGAGGCATATCTATATCCCAGTTAGAAATTCTGACAATGATAAATAAAGACGTTGCTTTTAAGTATCGAACGTGACTCGGTTAGAAGAACGTTTGTTGAAATAGTGAAATGAAATTATATAAACAGTTAAATCGGTAATCTACTGTCATAACATATAAAAAGCTCACGCCTTTGAAATATCAACAAAAGTCAAAACATTAGAAAAATAGTTCACATCAAAGCCTACTCCGAGTACTCACCACCGGCGAAGGTTTTCCGTCTTGAAATGTCGAATGCCTCACTGGTTGACACGGAGCTGAGTAGATCTAGATTCTTAACAAGGTTCTTTTATGTAACGAGTAGATTATTTACTATTTGTTGTTTGTGTACACAACCAAGATTAGACAACTCTTGCTCACGACCTTATTATCCGGGCATCCCGCTTCAAGCTGTGCGAACCTATTCACTGCGCATGCGCAGAACAGCTGTGGAAACCACTTTTCACCCCAGCTGGGCTGAATTTAGTGAAACGTTTGAATACCGATTTCGCTGGGTTTTTTTCATCGCATTATTTTTCAACTTTGTAAGTTGAATTTGCATTTTTGATAATTTGTTACTGTAAGTCCATACCGATAGGTATCAGAATCTGCAAAGTTGTGTTTTGCGTTGCATGTAAGTTTAAAGGGAGTTGGTTACTTTACAAATTAACACAATGGGATGTTTTCATCACATGTGATGACTTTGCATCCAAAGTTCTAACTACAAGCTTTATCCACACATTTGATAAATGTTGTTGTGTATTGTACCAGGAAGTGGGGAAAAGGAGACAATAAACAATTTCGTCCTCACAGCCGTAGTGTCAAACATCACTTTCATTTGTTAGCAACCGTATCTGTATTAATATATTTTAAACAACAGAAAAAGCCAGTCTGAATTGGAAATATATTCACAATTAAAACTGAATATACATTGAAAAAAGAATTTGCATTCACCCAAAGCAGAGCTTCAAACAATGTATTTAAAGTACATTTACCCAGGAATCTCAAGAAACGAAACTATGAGCGAAATTGGATATTGTCAATGCATAGGTATATATCTGCCAAACAAGTTCAACATCAATTTCAACAATGTAGAAATATCAAATACATTTACCTCATCTACCAACCGTTGCAGATAATAAACACGGAGACAAGTAAGAAATCATATTCGGTGTTCCGGGTGTGTGAATAGAAATGCTACCTATCCACTTGAGTGTGTTATCTCACGCAAAAAGCTCCAAATCATTTCTCCATTTTCATAATTATGACTTAGGAAATGAGTGAGTGAGTGAGTGAGTTGGGTTTAACACCGTTTTGAACAGTTACATTATGGCGCATGACGTTCATGATGGGGAACGGCCATACAGAGGCAGGATTCAGATTACTTTGATAACCACCAAACCAGTGATCACAAGCGTTGGCGTGCCGAATGAAAGTCTGCACAGGTAATTGTCAACATTTTGCCAGTAAAGCGCTGTTTAGTCGGTTGACTGTCAATAATTTTGGTTCATTGAGATTCCATGCAACATTAGCAAAATATTAAATGACAAGAGCAAAGAAACTAATACCACAAGCAACATTCAGCAGAAAGAATAATTTCAGACACAGATCGTCAAGTGCAAGAGATACGTCTTTCCAGGTGACCACTGTGTTACGCTTCCTTTCTTCCTCATTGTCAACTGTGGTGTCCTGTACTTCCGATTCCTCTGCATTCAAAGTCGGATTGTTAACCGCATAGTCACAAAATATGACATATTTCTGCAATACCACAGGTACATCTCCTCTTCTCTGATTGATCCTGAGGATGAGAACTGACATTGCCACAGCAAGGGAGCTGAGAGTGAGGAGCAGGGTCATGTAGATGGTAAGGTAGGATGTTTGGAGGGACGTTCTGGGCATGTTGTTGCTCATCTGAGTCAGAAACACACTGAATGAAAGGAGAACCGTCATGGACAGAGACACTTTATCCCCATATTGTATAGGCAGAGCAAAGACCACTGAGCTGAGAAGGGAGAGAAACATGACAGGGACGATGAGATTGAGGACATAATATGACGCCCGACGTTGAAGTGTTGTGGTTATAATGAATTGTGGAAATGTCTTTTCAATGGCAGCAGATGACAATGTTTTGATATTCCAAAGTCCATTCACATTTGTTCTTACATCATTGCTTCTATAAATTGAAGATATGAAACGAGCAGAATAATTTTGGGTCACCCATGTGGATAGATTCAGATGGCAAGTCTGAGTATCAAAAGGAAAATGCGAGATGTCAAAGTCACACTGACTGTGATAGATGTCCCCGTGGTACCATTCTACCATTCCAGAATGATGTACACAAACAGGTGAATTCTGATTTTTCATAAGATTGCGCTCTTCGGCTGTGTTTAGGAGCGTTATGTCGGGCATCCATATGTGTTCACTTGACATACAGATCGTGTCTATCCCTCCATAATCCGAAATGTTCCACTTCAATGATTCATCCAGCCAGTTAAAGGTAAACCATCCATTTGTGGTCATGGACTGTTGCCACTCATTAAGCTCAGTAATTTGTGATATGACAAAGCTTACATGTATATCCATCCTGGTCTCGCTTGGCAAAACTTGCCGCTCATAGTCATCTTGTAAAAAATGAAGCAGTCTCTTCTGTTCATTCATTCTGGTACCTCGAATCAAACAAATCATTGTAGTGGAGCAGATGAAAAGTTTGAAGATCATTGTGCTAAGAATGCCTGTATACAACTCAACAGGAATGGGCTTTCAACTTTCTAATGGAGACGCATTCGAGTTTTATTTAAACACAGTCGGAAACTAGCATTGATTAAATAATGGTTTTAAACTATGATGAGGATTTCCACATACATTCTGATTCGTTTCATACACGCTGTGAAAATATTAGAATCGATTAATGATGTCGATGGAGCATACTGGCAGTGTACATTTGGCTTAATTATCCTCTCGCAGTACTGGCGTCATTTTTGTGAAAACCTTGAAACAGCGGGATATATATATATATATAGAGCGCTTTTACAATACATTGCTATCAAACAACTATTGTTTCTTCAAGGTCTGTACGTCTTTTGAAGGATGGCGAGTCATTCTGCTATCCTTATCTCATTTGCAGATGCGTATCAGTTGTAATACATAAAAGCATCAGCATTTTTCCATATTCATATCACAGTTCCAAAATGCGTAGTCTTTTCCTCTATATTATATAATTATTTGTGACGTTATAAAATAGGACTTAAGAACACATTTTGTGGATTTTACTCTATACAGTGAATACTTAATCTGTCATGGCTACACAGCACCAAAAGGCGGATAGTAAACCATTGAAATAAACGTAAATACAGTAGGAAATACATGCCATGACCGGATTTACGTATGTTTTCAGATATTTCCTAACTTCGGTCATATATTTCACATGAATCTATACCTGTGAAACATACGCTCATCGTATATTTTCGTATGCACAAGAACCTCATTCATGTTTGCCATGACCGGATTGTCAGGGATTTCCAAACATGAATTGCAAAACAGATACCCCAGTAAATACATGATCATACAGTATTTCCAATGCATTCCTGTGAGTTTCAGTGGGTGTTGAAATGTCCGATTCCGTTCTAAGTTTACTACAGTTGGAAATATGGATATTCCTTTAGGCGGGGAAACACATGTAAATGTTCAAGTTTGCAAATGTTTACATTCCTTAGATATTTATGTATCATACCGGATTTCAGGGGTATGTATATGAACGGTTCATACATGTTCATGTGACCTGTGCTCAGGCAAGATGGACTTATGTTTCCATGTTTTGAAATACTTGTTTCATGTTACTTCATTTTCACATATTTGGATACGTTTGAAATCAACGTTCATGTGACCTCATTAATCTTATCACCTAGCGGATGTAGCAAAGAAAGCAGTATTATGCGAGCTAACACGCCTTCTCATGTAGCATTCACGCTTCCTACCAGTATCAGTTACGTCTTGTGTGCGCTGTCTGTATCGGGGGATTAAAAAGCACAGTGGTGAACAGAGTGAGATCCCCTTTGTCCTCGCAGGTGTCCCTAGAGAGTGAGTGAGTGAGTGAGTGAGTGAGTGAGTGAATATTTAACGTCACATCGGCAATATTTCAGCCATATCGTGACGAGAACATTTGCTATTGAAATGAAATATATGTTTATTATAAAAAACCTGCCGACGAAGGACAGTAGAAAAACTAGAATATCACAGATATGTATGTAAAACTAGTAATTAAATCTAAAACGTTTTAACTATAGGGGAAAAACAATACAGGATAAAAAAAAAATGGGCTATAAATCGCCAATAACTGAAGGTAGATCACCATACCGGGGACCATGGGGACTTACATTACTTTTGCTACCTGCATGGACCCTAGTTGGATTTACACCATCCCTTCAGCCATTGGCGACAGAAGAGAAATCTAGCCATAAATTAAAAGCACACCTATTCTACGATTAAAAAGGTGGCAAGCCTAAATTTATTCTAAATGTGTTGGGACTTACGTACCCTCTCAGGAGGACAATAATTTTACAATACTTCAACCCCCTTTGAGGGTACAGCCACTAACAATCGAAGTTGATAATCTAAACCACCAATTATAAAACCTTATCTATTTACAAAACATATATCAAAATTCATTTAACAGATCTAAGGTGTCCCTAGATATCCCCACAGAATAGTCCTATATTTCTGTTAGAGCACAGGCAAATACCCCAAACTATCCGACTCGTAATTTCAATGTCTATGCAGCTCGAACTGCTGTGTAAACTGCAATTCTGGGAGTACATGATTGGAATATTATTGCACAACACGTGACCCTTTTTAATAGCCTCAAAGTGGTTAAACCATGTTATTACCCATTCCGCTCAGCCGTTACTGTAAATATAGTAACCCTGAATAAGCAAGACTAGCTTTTCCACAGGCCCTGTATCACCCGTCTCACTGATTCTCCTTTCCAAGAGGCTCTATGTTCAAGTAATATACTTTCAAAGACTACCTATAGCGTTAGTCTTGACTTACAGGCTTGATCTAACTTCATACAATAACACTGAGCTTGACCAAATCTGTTTCAATAACGCAAAAATAAATGATAACAAACAATGTCATATCCAATGATTTATTTGTGTTACATATGAGACCTTAAAAGCCTGTATGCGGTGTTTTATGTCCGTAAGGCATAGTCGGGGGCATCTGGTGGGGAATTCCATTTACGGGGCATGCCATATGTTCTTTCATATGGCCCGCCATGCCTTTTCGCAATCTGCCTTGAGTGTCCATCTAGACGTTTGACGTGGCCATCAACAAACTCTCATCGCCAAGGCAACGGTCTTTGGCTGTCTCGTTTTCAGCTTCTTCCGAGAAGTCCTCCTCACTCGAGATATACTCAGTTGTTTGCAGCAGTCTCTGTAATTTGGACACCTCGTCCGTTGGCATTTTCCCTTCGAACAGACGGAGAGCCGTTCGCCTGCGGTTGCGTTTCTGCAAGGAAACCATGATATTATAATAATACAGCTACGAGAGGTTACCATTTTTTATGCGTGACAAAAAAAAATCTGGAATATCCCTATTTGTCATTTCAGATAAACCACTACCGACTAATATACTTTACTGCATCTATCTTATTCGAATTTACTCAAAGTGTTGGCGGTAGTGGTAGCCAAACTTGGGTATGAAATGAACAAAATAAGTAGAGGCACTAAAACATGATCCCAAGATTTGCAACACTTATGGGACGTAACAAACGACAAGATGCAACTGTGCAAAACTTAATCGACAATAGTTCCGTGTCTGTTTTAAATAACTACTGGTTTCATTAATATTGACCTAATATGTCTTAAGTTTTAACCTTGATGTGTCTTTTATAGAGGTACTATCAGAATCAGTAGTTCAATTAATAATCTTCTCATGTAATTTGTCGAAGTTTTGTTAAATGGATTCAAAGAAACACAAAAACTGCATTCTAGTATATTAAAATGCAAATGCAGTCACAACAAATCATTGTTCTGTTCGTATATATTGCAACTTACGTTTGCTTTCCTCTGCTGTCTCTTTTGCTTTTTCCTGCAGTTCTGGAACACCCCCTTCTCCTTCTTCTTAAAAGTCGACTTTAAGGAATGAAAGTAGGTCACGGCTGCCTCTGCAAATATGTTTTTGTATTTTCTATTGTATCCATTACCTATTTAAGGAATTGAGTGAGTGAGTTTAGTTTTATGCCACACTCAGCAATATTCCAGCTATATGGCTGCGGTCTGTAAATAATCGAGTCTGGACCAGACAATCCGGTAATCAACAGTATGAGCATCGATCTGCGTAATTGGGAACCGATGATATGTGTCAACCAAGTCAGCGAGCCTGACCACCCGATCCCGTTAGTCGCCTCTTACGACAAGCATGGGTTACTGAAGGTTCATTCTAACCAGGACCTTCACGGGTCATTTAAGGAAGTAAACGTCACTTACATTTGGACCGTTGTGTGTTATCATTTTAGTGCACATTTGAATAAACATGGTTATAGATCATTAACAGATGTTTCATCAATGAATCAGTTATGGAAAGTACATGTTCATTGTTTACATCAGTTGTGTTTGCAGCCATACTGTTATCAATGCTTATTTCTTGTCAGGTCGTAAACGCACGTTTAATATATTTGTCGTTGACATGCTGCTCCTCATGGCTGTTGATACGTTGTTTCGATCTTTTCATTACCTCTCGGTTTATAGGATGATCAAATCTGAAAACAAAATGATTTTCTTATGGTCTCTGTTTATAGTTTTCTAATTATAACGTTATACGACATTATTAAACATATTTTAAAGCAATTGTACAAACTGAGTGAGTGAGTGAGTTAATATTTAACGTCACATCGGCAATATTTCAGCCATATCGTGACGAGTACATATTTGTCATTGAAATGTAATACGTGTATATTAGAAAAACCTGTCTTCAAAGGACAGTAAAACAACTAGAATATCACAATTACAACTAAAACTAGTGTGGAAAGTTAAAACTAATAGCATATTTGGACAATACAATATAAATACTGGCTATAGATCGGCAACAACTGGAGGTAGATCACCAAACAAGGGACCATGGGGACTTTCATTACTGTTGCTACCTGCATGGCCCCTAGCTGGATTTATATCATCCCTTCAGCCGCTGGCGATGGTAGGAAGATTAAGCCGAAATTTAAAATAACAAAAATACTACTAAACAGCTGGTAACATTTAAATTTCCTTTGAATGTTTTGGGACTTACGTACCCTCTCAGGAGGAAAATAATTTTACGCTACTTCAACCCCCTTTGAGGGTACAGCCACTAACAATCTCAGTTACTAATCTAAACTACCAATAATAAAATATGTCTCTATTTACAAATCATTTAACAAATCTAACTCTTTTAAAAATGCAATAATTAAATGAGAGCTTATATCATTATAAAGATCCTTCATAGTTCGTGATTTGAAATAGATATCCCTTGTGATGGAATATTCAACACAGTCAAGCAGGACATGCTTGACCGTGATTCTTTCATCACAAGGGATACAAAACAGAGGATCCTCATCTTTCAATAGGTACTCATGAGTATGTCTTGTGTGGCCAAAACGACATCTTCGCATGATGACCTCTTCAAAT